CCTTGGAAACCTCAGCATTTTGCAGGCGGCAGTCACCACTTCATTTGTATGGAAGAGGAAGGACTGCTTTCTGCAGTCAAGAATACAAGAAACAATATTTCTTCTTCCTCATCATGTTCCTCCTCTTGCTTTCTGGCCCTCCAATCTATCATTTTACCCTTGTTTTCTTCCCTCTTTTCCTCTTCTCTCTCCCCTTTACTCTTCCTCTCTCTGTCCCACTGTCAAAGAGGAAACACAAATATCAAAAGGAAAAAAAGTAAAGTGAGCCCTGAGGTGGTGGAATTTATGGTATGTATATGACCTCACAATTGCATAGGTAGATGCTAGATAGATAGATAGACAGACAGACAGATAGATAGATAGATAGGAACTCTGTATTCACACAGCTGTGTATGTGTGTGTACACACATGCATACATTTTCTTCACTCTATCCACTAAGCAAGCCCAGGAGCCACCTGAGCACAAGTAGTCACCAGTTCTTAATGTTCCAATATCACTGTCCACTGCAAAGAATCAGGACTCTTTGGAGAATAGACTGATTCGCATGAGGGCAGGAAAGTATGAGATGAGCTTGGAATAATTTATTCTACAGAAGTAAGAATGTACTCGAAGAATGACAAGATGTGCAAAAGGTACCAAAGCCACTTGGAGGAACTCCCACTGAGGTCATCAGGGCATCAAAATAGATAAACATAGGATTAGGTCATAAAGCATTGAATAAAATGTGAAATCATCACTTCTTCCTTATATAAATGAATGGTCTAATCTCAAAGTAGCTCCACACACAGAGTTACTTGCAAAGGAGAAAAGAAAAGCTTCACAATGGAGCTATCTGACAGACACCACTGTAAGCAAGTGATCAAAGTTATCATCACTAGCCTTGGAACAAATCAAAATCATGTGCCATCTGATAAGATTCCATGAGACCCAAAGATGTGAAGTCTAAATCTAATCATGAGGAAGCATCACACAAACACAAAGAAAGGGACATCAATCAAAAGAGTTGACCAGTGTCAAGGTCTTGGGAGTTTAGGAATGGCTGAGGAATTGTTCCAGACAGAAGGATACTACAGAAAGATGAAGCTAAATCTGATGTGTGACCTTAAGATGGATTTTTTTTTTTTTTTTGCTAAAATATCATTACTAGGGCAACTGGTGAAACTTGAATGGGATCTAATGCTGGTAATGAATCATCTCATTTCCTCACTTTGATGGCTAGCTCATGATCATGCAGGGGCATGAGTTTGTCTGGAGAATGTATTATCCGAAGTGTTTGTGGGCAAGGACCATTGGTTCAGTGGCATACTTGGAAATATCAGAAATATTTTTACTTGCAGCTTTTCTAAATGACTGAGGTTGTTGCAAAAGAGAGAGACAGACAGAGGGGGAGAGAAAGAGAAACAGAGACAGAGAGAGAGAGAGACAGAAACAGAGACAGAGAGACTCCAGTCTTTCATCCATTATTGTCTGGCTGTATTCTCGATGAGCTCAGTTATTTAGAGATGCTGAGTGAGTCAGCCTCACACCACGGGTGAGGTCATCACAGCCGTGCCCACCATGCTAAATACCCTGTTGACGAGGGGATTGGAGAAGGGGATGATGGTGATACTGAGCCCTTGAGGAGCCTTGCACTGATTTTAGGAAGGGTTCGGACCACTAGATTTTGAAAGACAGAGTCTCTGTGAAGGGAGCATCATGTCCTTGGGCATTAGAGCAAATGTCCTGCCTTCCTATTCTTGCCTGGCCTTCAGAGTGCTCTGTTTTCCTGGGCTCTACTCTGAAGGGTTTCCTTTGCCTTCTGTTTGCCTCTCCTCACAAGGAAGGCTGCAGCACAGAGGACTGTCACAGACATGCTTGTCTCAGAGATCCAGCTCCTGTGAGCTGAGGATAGCAGACCTTTTTCAGAGGAGTTTTGAGCTCAGATCCATCACCATTGTGTAGGTAAACACAGGAAGGAGGAACTGAGCCTGGTCTGAGAGATCTTGGTCTGAGAGAAGCCTCTGAATATTGCAGGTAAGGCGGGGCATATGTATTTAATACTGAGGGTGCAGCCTATGGAAGGTACCAGATGTATCATGATTGGCTCCAGCTTAAGAACTAGATCCAATGGGGGGTAAATGAAAGAGACAGAGTTCAAGTCAGATAAGAAAGGAGCTTTCTAATGCTGGATCTATATGAAGTGTCCAGGTGTCCTGTGTGGTCTGAGACATAATTGCCAATGTCAGGGTTTCTGAGAGAGGACCAGGGCTTCATTTTACCTTGAGTATGTTATGTCTGCCTTATTACTATTACCAACAACACTTCAGCAGTTGTCCCCAAGTCCAGCTTGGACCATAGCTCTACCTCTTCCCAAAGGTTTCTGTTGTGTTTATTCACAGTAGATGCTGGGAGGCAGTGGGTACTGGAGACAGAAGGGACTCTGGCTTTTTGGAATTGTCCTGATGGCATGAGCAGGGCCAGCAATGTCTAGTTCAGTTCTCACTGAATGTATGGCTCCTTTCCTAGTGGTTTAGGTCCAGCCATGTCAGGACATGTTAGTCTGTGTGGGACACAAACACTTCAGAGGCCATTACTACTGCAGTGTTACAGATACTTTGGCTTCTCCCAAAAGCAAGATGGGTCACATCCTTCCATTACCAGTTTCTCTTACTTCTACGCTGGACCCACTGTCCCTTCCACATTACACAGGTGAACAAGGATCAGGCTTTGGATAGCAACTCCTTAAAAAAGCAAGAAAGTTGTTCTCTCCTTCCCATTTCATTATGAATTGAGGACACAAGTACATCTCAGTCCTTCAGCAGAGACAGTATGATGCTTTGTTATCCTCTTGATTCACCTGGAAATAAAAGTCAGACCAACATGGGAAGCGTTGGGCTTTCCCATGTGGGAAGCTGTAATCCACTAAACAGCCCACCATATACATATAAATGGTATGATTTCAAGTTTGAAGTCATTTCTTCAACTGAATTTAATAAAAGAAAATTTCAGGGTTATAAGAAAGGGGGAAAGTTTTCAATAGCATATGGAGACATGGTTAGAGCTTATTGGGTTGTCATGTTGGATACATTATTCCCCAGGGACCTGAATAAAGAATTAGAGCAGAGAGATCTTATTTGACATTTGATGTTTCAATTTCCCCAGAAACATTACGCCAGATAAATTTGTAGCTTAGATGCGATGCCAAGCAGACCCGGTGGCCAAGCCCTCCCACCTCAACATCCTGCTCAGACTTTTAAGAGAAGCCAGTTAAAATTTACTAGGCATTTTTATTATACAGTGTGTACCCCACCCACAGACATTTGCACAAATCACTTGTACAGAACCCATACATTCACGTCACCTTCATTAGCAACTTTATTTAAGTGCCTCAGAATTTATCTAACAGCAAGACACAAAGTTAAGAAAAACTGACAGCCAGATTTCTTTTTAATTTGTGGAAACTATGTTTGCTTTAGATCTATACTGCGCCTGCCTTGTGGCATGTGAATAGTACTGATCACTGATAGCCCCTTGATGTTGCATTGCCTGCACCAGATAAAAGTGGCCCCAAAGCTACCCCCAGCAAGAGCAGGTACAAGTAAAGTTGGGGGTTGGTTGAAGGTAAGTCACTAAGGCTATGACTTAGAAGGAAGTAGTCTTATCTGCTCCCCTTTCTTTCTCTCTGCTTCCTGAACAACATGGCATGAGCTGTTTTCCTCCACCATGTCTTCCCCCCATGCCATTTCACCTTGCAACCTTCCCACCGTGGACTGTACCCACTGAAATTGTGAGCCAAAATAAACCTCTCCTCATTTAAATTGTGAATGTTGGGTATTTTGTCCCATTGACTGAAAATAACTGATACAGATGGAACACTAGAAGCTCTGTCCCATTCTTGAATGCCCACCCAGGGCCCATTGAGTGGCTGCTTGGTCAGCTGCATTGACAGGGAACTCAGCTCTTCAGAGGGCAGTTCCCTCTGCTAAGAAAGGCTTAAGCAGTTAGAGATTTTACAGAACAATGTAGAGGGGAATAAATTACCCTGGCCTTTTCCAAACATTAGTCCAAGTGATCCAAAAGAGCTCTGCAGAATGTATCTACTCCCTCTTCTATTTAATCTGTGGTCAGTAAATACATCCTCTGTGATATTTCTCTTCTACAATCTATGCATCACTAGTTTCTTTGTTCTCATGTTGCATGAGTCTCTTTGTCATCCTGGTTGCCCAGCCATAAACATGTCTTAATTTGTCCAGAACAAGCTACCAGATCATCTCTCTTGTATGGCCACCTTGTCTTCAGCAGCTGGCAACCTGGACATTCAGGACTACATCAGTAACCTTCACTCTAAGCAGCTATTGCATCTCATTAGCCAGGGGTCAATCCTGGACAAGGGGAACTCCAATGCCTCCTAGGATGCTAACAATACTGGAAAATATGAAACACTCTAGAGAGGCAGACATGGAGCCTGAGTCTTGGCTGGAGTGCTGGTCAAGGGCCAATACTCCTGCAAGGGAGGACTGTGCACTGATAGGAGATGGAAAGAGCGACCTATTGCCATGGTGACTGTTGGGCATTTCAACTGCCTGTGTAGCCTGGGAGGAAAAAGCACCAGGAAGGATCATAGTGAGATGAAGGATTTCACCCACAACCACGGCCAAACCCACCATGAATAGCTATCACATCTAACAGCACCTGTGTAATTTAACTCATTATCAGGGGAGGATTAGAGCTGATATCACCTATGACGGGGTAGAGGGGAGGTGTGGTGTGTGAATGTGTGAGATGGCATCTTGCACTGACAGGGCATCCATCTCATTGGGCAAGGTCTCTTTCACAAGCAAGGCAGTGACATTAACTGTCTTGGTGCCAGTGGAAGGTTACGAATGGGGCTCAGGTAGACATTCTTTTGAGCCCTGGAGCTCTTTGTGCACACTTCTATTTGCACTAGTTTTGTTATGCTCTAATTATTTGTCTGCAAGTCTGTCTCTTGAAATAGAACAGCTTGAGTATAAAGACTATATCTTCTTTCTATATCTTTATTCCCAACAGCATTCTTCGCACATAGTAGGTGAACAAATGTATGAATCTCTTCCAAAGATGAAATCCAGGCATTTGAACTTAGAATAGAAGTATGCAAGATTGAAGCTCAATACAAGCATCATCTGGGAAGGACTTGTGCTGTGCTGGATTGGGAGACCTGTCTTCATCACACAAGAGGATGAGATAGACTTCCTCCTTGCCTGTGGGCAGGAACAAAGCAAGAAGAGAGGGCAATGGACACCAGTCAATGACCTTACCCTCATCACACACATATGTATCTTCTACAGTTTCAGGTAAGCAGTAATGTTTCAAGTGGAAAAAATGCATATATTGCCAAAAATACATGTATTACATTTGATTAATGGAACACCAAAACTTAGCAACACAACACACTGTAAAGTATCCTATTTTTCCCTTTCGATTGTGTGGCTGACCAGAAACTGTAATTACTTGCTCCTGTCACCATCATAAGAAGACTGTACCATGTACCAGGTGTCACTAGCCTAGGAAAAGAAGAGAATTCAAAATTCAAAGTACAGTTTCTACTGAATGCTTATCACTTCTGTACCACTGTAAAGTTGAAAAATCCTAAATCAAATGAGTGTACAACGAATACCATGCATGTTTAATTTCTTTAAGTTGTATTTCAGTAAAAGACACATTGCCTTTAATTATCCTCAATATTCCTCTTCGCTCACTTTGAACACACTTCGTTCCCCAGTTCTTGCCACTTTCTAGAGCAGCCTGGAAGTCTCTTCCATGCCTGTCTCCAGTTGTGCTATTCTGGCTGCCTCAATGTTCTCAAGCAAAACCTTTACCTTGTATGGTCATTTTGATTTGGGGGAAGGGTCAGAATTTACATCGCACCAGATCAGCTGAATGAAGTACATGAGAACACTGCAGTGTTTTTATGAGCCTGTCCTTCTGTGGGATGGCCTTTGGCAAAAGCATTCATTGTATACATTTTTTTCCTTTGGTCACACCTCATAAAGACACTCGTGAACGAGGACTTCCAGAGCTGCTTCAGAAAATGGTGAGAATGACAGAGTAAGTTCAAAACAGAAAGGGAATATTTTGAGGGAGACTCATGTAATGTGTCTTTTACTGCAATAGATTTTTGTGAATTTAAATATTTACCTTATATTTCAGTCACACCTCATAAATCAAAGATTAAGTGTGTTTTCCTGAGAGAGTAAGTGTATGCAAGCATTTTTAAGAGCCATAAACACAGAATTTGTACATTCATGTTAAAGCTGTCTTCGAAAGCAATTCTGAAGGATATTGTCTACTTACTTTGCATTTGCTGTTGGAACCAGCAATCCTACTTTGGCTTGGCCTCTGGAACTGCCTTCAGAGTCAATATATGAGCTGTAAAACAAAAGCAAAAAAACCAGCCTTGCTTTTCAAGTCACATATATTTTTGTGAAGTATATTTCCCCCTTCCCCAATACAGAACTTTGTGGGCTGATGTCTGTTTATTTCCTTTAATTCCATCCAAACTTGAGGTAAGGAATAGAGCAGTTGAGCATCATTAATTTGGAATTCACTATTATGCAATGTGAAATAATTCAGACTAGTAAATTTCAGCCATACAACTGCCTTCTATGAAGGAAGGAATTGTTAAGAATCCTAAGGATTAGTTTCCTTAGGATTATTAGCAAATCAGAAGGAAATTATTTAAAGCTAAACACTCAAAACTTCTCAAGTGCATACATTTTGGATTGAATCACCTTTCTGAAGATTATCTTATTGTAGGTGTATTATATATCATTACACACTAAAATCATTTCTTCATGGACCTATAGAAAGCCTTACTTTGTTGATCTATTTCCTGTTAATATTAACCCCTGTATGTAATAAAGTTGCATCTCTAAAATAATCCCTTAATCCAAACCTTCACTAATTTAGATCATTTCTCCAAATAAGTCTAGATAAATGAGATTTGAGTATATTATATTGAACCATGTGAAATTGGGATTTTTGACTTATAAAAATGACAACTTTGCATTCAACCTAGTATATTTTCTAATATCGCCTCCCAAGCCACCAAAGCACTCCACATTTCGATGCTCACTTTGTATGTTTTAAAATACAAGTAGGAGACAGTGATTGATTGAGTACCCCATCTTCCAACCCTCCTACCCCCCAGTTTGCAAATACAGAAACTCAGAGACTTATCAGAGAAAGTCAAAACATAACTGCATCCTCTGCTTTGCAGGGCCTTTTAAATTCATGTAGTCTCATTCATTTATTTATGTTTTTGTCTCCTGTGCTTTTGGTATTATATACATAAAATCCCTGCCAAGAGTAATGTCATGAGGTTCTCCCTGCTTCATTCTAAAAATTCTAGAGTTTCAGATATTACAACACTTTAATCTATTTTGAGTCAATTTTGTACACAGTATAAGCTAAAGGTCCAATTTCATTTTGTTGTATCTGAATAACCTGATTTCTCAATTCCATTTATTGAAGAAATTATCCTTTCTTCATTATGTATTGTTGACACCCTTGCTGAAAATCAGTTTATGGTATATATATAGATTTTTTTTACAGGATTTTTCCTCTTCAGTGATCTACATTTCTGTTTTTAACCCACTAGCATGCTGTTTTGATTACTGTACCTTTGTGATAGAGTTTAAAAACAGGACCTATGATGCCTTAAACTTTGTTCTTCTTCCTCCAACAATTTGGCTGTTTGAGATCTTTTGTGATTTCATATGAGCTAAAGAATTATTTTTTTCTTGCTTCTGTGAGATCAAAAGTCCATTTGAATATTTGTAAGAATTGCATTGATTCATTGTGTGTGAAGATATGGACAGCTATTTCAAAGAAAACAAGAGACATTATGATAGCCACTGTCAGTCTCCTGTTGTCTTGTTTTCAAATCCTGTGTTGCTTACACTGTTTTGTTCTGATCCACTTTGTTCTGTTTTGTTTTATTCTCTTTAAAATAAAAGTTTTAAGAAATGATTATACCATTTACAATACACCAGCAGTGAGTTTCTTTTTCATTCTATCTCATCAGTACACGGTAATTCTATTTAGAACTAAAAAATTGAATTTCTCTTTGCTTGCTTTTTCATGTGATTTTTCCACGTCTTCTGTGTACTTATTTGTTGATCTTTTGACCGAGGTCCTTTGTGGGTATGAAAGATCCTTATCATTTTTGTGATATTTCTTGTATTTTATTTCTGGTATTGTTTATTTTTAAATGCATAAATTAAGTTTATTGATCACAAAAAAGGAATTTTATTGAATCTAGATATTGCTTTGTATAATCTGGACATTTTAACAATATCAAGCCTTCTAGCCTATAAATACAGGAGGTGTTTTCAAGGAAAATACTCTGAAACAGGCACATAATTTATAGAATTATTTTTATATTAGTCACCCGAAGAGTCAAATACAAAATCTTTAGGAAATCTGTTCATACACTACAGACCCAAAGAATCCAACTATGGGCCTAGATCCTATGGCAGTGTTCTATATGAATCCAACTGGAAACCTAGAGCCCACGACAGTGATTCATGCAGGTCTGTTTCACAGGATCTGCACTGGAAAGGTCAAAAGGTCAGCAGTGTGAAAGCTAGAAAATCTATGCCAGCAGGATGAGCACTGAAGCCAGGAAGCAATGCTCAAAGTATGGTCCAGAGCTCCCTGAAAAGTAACACAGTCATCCTCAGTGACAACAAGATCCCGAGCTTCTCTGATGATAACAGCTGTGTTCGTATCTCCTTCTGCAGGAGATTAAACAGCACATGATCTTCCTCTCTGGAGCCAGGAAATGATGTCAACAGCAAAGACCAGAGCTCCTCCAAAGTGAAGCACAGCCACTCTCAGTGGCAAAGTCCCAAGCTCCTCCAATGATGAGAACAACGAAGTTCATAACGAGAAAGAAGCTTGATGAGCTCCTCCAGGAGAACTCACAGCACAGGAGAACCAACAGCATTACTTCTCCTCTCCCCTTCTCCCCTTCAGCTGTTGGCAGGTGGGCCATCCTCACCCAGCACCACACTGATTCAGTATAGCTGGGTGTTACCACCGGTTGTCAATCTACCACGGGGCTGGAGGTTTCTATTTGTTTGTGCTTATCTAATTTCTTCCATAGCATTTCAGTTTTCAACATCCAAGACATTTGCCTCTTTAGTTTATTCCTCAGCGATTTATCATTTTTGAGCTATTATAAGTGGAATTGTTTCCTAAGTTTCTTTTTCAGATAGTTAGCTGTTAGTATCCAGAAATGCGGTAATTAATAGAACAAAAGCACCTAAGAAGAGGAGAAACTAGTAAAAGGTAACCTGGAAGAATGGCAACCAGATGGTAATAGGTTAGTCTCCAAAATACATTAGGTACTCCTGCAAAATCCTCACCACATGATTTTAAAATGGGCTAAAGATTTGAATAAACACTTGAATTCTCAAAGTCACTGGTCATCGGGGAAATGAAATCAAAACCACAATGAGCTGTCAGTCTGCACCTGTCAAGATACCTCCTGTCAAACAAATAAACAACCAACAAAAAGTAAAAGACAGTAAGTGCTGGTGAAAATGTCAAAAACTTAGAATCCTTGTACAATATTGGTAGAAAGCAAAATAGTGTAGGTACTATGGAAAACAGTATTGAGGTCTCTCAAATAAGAACAGCAGTACAATATAATCCAGCAATCACAACTTCAGAGTACTTACCTAAAAAACTTGAAATCAAAATCTCAAAGTTGTGTTAACATTCTCAAGTTCACTGTGGGATTATTCACAATAGCCAAAATGTGGAAACAACCTAAATGCCCATCAGTAGGTGAATAAATAGAGAAACTGCAGAGCCAGGCATAGTGGTGCATGCCTGTAATTCCAACACTTGGGAGACTGAGTCAGGAGGATTTCCGTGATTCCTCCATACTAGCCTGGGTTATATAAAAAGTTCAAGGCCAGTCTGGACTACAAAGTAAGACCCTGTCTCAAATTAAAAAAAAAATAGAGAAATGATAGTATGTACATACAATACAATACGATTCTACACTGAACAAGAAAGAAATTTTTAATGTGTGACTGGAGTATGCAGTATGGCTAAACCTCAAGGACAAGACGCTAGGTGAAAAAGCCAGTCACACAAATCTAAATACTGTGCATAATCTAAAATAGTCAAATTCATAGAATCAAAGAGTAAAATGGTGATTGCCAGCAGTGGCAATGGAGAGAAAGTGGGAAATTATTAATAAACAGGCAAAATAGTTAAAAGAGAAAATAATCTTTAGTGATTTTCTGTGCAACATTGTACCTGATTGTATACTTAAAATATTTCACATATTAAGAAAGTAGGTCTGGTATCAAGTGTTCTTACTATAATAAAACAAATATTTTAAAACACACACAGCTGCTCAATCCTGGGCATGAATGTATACTATAACAAGAATAAATAGAACCATAAAGGAATAATACTGCAACTTTCCCATCATCTCATCTCAGTTCCTTATTTTAGACACAGCTGGTTGGGCAATCTAAAACTCACTTTGAGGACAAAACCAGCCTACCCGTAAGTGCAATCTATTAGAGCCCAAGAGACCGTGAGCCTGTGAAGTAAAACTCTGACATAAGACTTCTGAAAGAATTGGAAAGAGAGGGAAGCAAATTAAAATTTAATAGAATGGAACCTCAGGAAATGGACAAATGTAAATTAGGTTAGAGAAACAGAAATTATTCTCATTTTTAAAAGGCTGCTCATTAACTTATTGGATAGCATTCTGAGAATTTGTTTAAGGAATGCAGGAACGTGGGAGAATGATTCTTCTCTGCTTCTGGATAAGAAAGTGGATTTGCACTGTAGCAAGAAGTATTACTGCTGAGTGTTGCGAACTCCCTGGATTGTGAAGGTTAGGTGAAACCGAGGAGGGTGGATTGCATCAGACTGTGAAATCTCCTTGTCTGGAAGTATTACACAGAAGAGTCCCGTGTAGAGATCGGGATTAATTCTGTTTCCATTTGACATTCTCCCCCTCCTGCCAGAGGTCCCCTTGGCTGAATGGTAAACTGGTCCCCTTGGCCAGTGCAGCAGCTGAAGTAGCTGTGACCACGGGAACATCTGCAGACAGGCATGAGACACTGCTCTTCTGCAGAGCTGGAGAATTCCTCTAAGATTTCCCTTCTCCCAGAAACACCCCTTTCAGGAGAGCCATCTGGTACCTGCTGCTGCCAGCCTTCCCCAACACAGACGTTCCAGCGAGAGAGGAGATAGTGTTACCTGTGGGGAAGTCTCCGCAGTGAGAGACAGAGCGACAGCACCGAGCGATTTATGCTTATTTTTTAAGCAACTGTTGTACAGACCTGGAAAATAAAAACAGCACCGTAGGCTTGAAACTGCAACTTTTCAGGGAGTTGTGACAAGCACGTTCTCTGAGGAACAGCTCCATCTCTGTAAGCCTGGTGTTACTGGAAAGGAGCATTTCCCATGCCAGAAATGCCAAACAAACCTGCCACTTAAATCCCTGCCATCCGGTCACTTGGGCACAGATGGCAGTACATGGCAATAAAATTAATGTGGCTCTAAATAATTTGAAAATGACAAGAGTAGCGCATTATCACATGAAAATGTAAATTATACCTTATCTGGACTGTTCCACAGACGCTATGATTCATCAGTGACTGTTGAGCTGTATTTCCAAGTAAGATCTCTGAGAAGGGAGGAAGGCAGGGCTGGAGCATGCTCTGCCTGGAGAGATTTATGGCCCCTTTTATCTGGATGTAAAGCACACTGAGTTGGGAGGGAATATTAAACGTATAAAATCTCCATCTATCATGCAGTCTATTCGAGGAGGATCAAAAGGACACACAAACACACACTTAGATACTCCAAAATCTCCTCTTTCCAAACATGCTATACCTTTTATGCAATTCACCTGTTACTTTATTTTCTTACTTGAGTTATGGCAAATTCCTCCATTCCACCATTCACCCATCCAACTATCCATCCATCCATCTAGCATTTCCTTCATATATTTACTAAATTTTAGTGGATATATTCACAAATCCATTAAGCTTTTATTGCTGGGCATACACAGTTTTTGATTACAAAAAATGCAAGCTGGCCTTTCCTCCTTTCTCTTTTGTTGGCATTATTACAGGGCGCTTCTTAAAAAGAAGGCACCACACGTAGTAAGAATTGGGCCAGCATTCTGCTTGTAATTGGAAAACAATTATCTGAAAGCTGGAACTCAAGAGAAGCTATCCCTTAGGTGGGTTGGGAAATAATGCACCTACAGCACCCTCTGTGTATCAGCCTGGGCACGAGGGTTACCAAAGTAGGGTTCCTGTGGGGAAGGGGGTGAAACCCCTAAAACACAAGGTGGTATTATACCGTTTGCTGCAGCTACTAGAAAGCCCAGTTAGCTTAGAACAAGAGAAACACATCGTGTCGAAGTTCTGGAGTTCAGAAGTCAAGCGAAGGCACCTGCAGCACCGCTTCTTCTGAAGGGCCTGCCTAGAGGGAAGGACCTGCTCCACACCTCTGTTCTAGTTTCTGGAAATTCCTTGGTTTGTCACACACTACTCCAGCCTTCATATAGTGACTGGGGACATGACCTCTTCCACAGCTGTCCAGGAACAATCAGGAGGGGCCATGTCAGTGGCCTCCCACCTCCTTGAGCTTGAACATTTCAGCAAGAATGCACCCAAACTGGCGTTCCCAAAGCTCTGGAGGTGCTGGCAGAGTTGCCTCTGGTGTCCCAATTGTACTTGCCACTCCTTGGTCCCACTAACCTGTGGCTTCGTAAGCGTGGAATTGCTCCTCTCTGTAAGCAGGCTGGCTCTGCTTCCCGATGCAGCTGCAATGAGGAGCTCTGGCATCTCCGCCATCCTCCTCACGCAGAGACACACCGCTCCCCAGACCTCCTCATGCTCCCCTGGACCCCGTCTCCAGCGACGGCTCTTACAGATCCAGAGTGGTACAGGAGCCACCATAGTGCAAGACCACCTCTGGCAGGTCACTCAGACCTGCCCTCCAATCTCCGCATCCATGACAGGCACAGAGATGCATCATTTTTTTAAATTAGTTTAAAGGAAGTACAATTTATATAAAATAAATTTCACCGAATTTTAACCTATCATTTAGTGAGTTTTGATGAACAGATATAGACAGGTGCCCATACCACAATACAAAAGATTTCTGTTACAAAAAAGTTTCTTTGTGTTTGTTTGCAGTTGGCCTTCCTCCTTTCCCTCCCTGGCAACCATTGATCTGGATTTTTCTCCTCTAGTTTTGCCTTTTGCAGAAAATCACAAAAATAAAATGATTAAAGATGTATTCTTTTCCCAAGCCTCTCTTTGTGAGTCACACTATTCGCAGACTGTAGGGGGAGACAACCAGGCCTCACCAGGAGGTGATCCCCACCTGGAAACCACATCATTTTCATTGCTTTGTTGGGTGGGGTTTTGTTTGATTATCTTAAATGTGATGGCATGAACAGCTATTTAAAGGATAGCAGACATATTATGGTAGCCATTTCGGATTTAGTGTTGGCTTATTTTGAAGTCCTTTATTGCATTCGTTATTTTGTTTTTATTGCTTCTGCTCTATTCTGTTCTGTTTGATTTTTACTATGTCCACAGGTATCTGCAGCTATTTTGAAGACATCAAAAGGCATTATGGTAACTGTTGCTGATTTCATAAGGTTTTGAAGTCCTGTATCACTTATACTGGTTTATTTTTATTGATTTTAGTCTCTTTCATTTTTCTTGGTTTTATCCTCTTTAAAATAAAAGAAAATGCAAAAAAGTATATTCTTTTGTGCTTGGCTTTTTTTTTTCTTGTTTAAGCATAAAACTTATTTATCAAATCAGTAAGATTTTCTTCTTCAAAAGGTGCTTTGCTAGATAAGGAGCTTTGTTAGTGCATAGTAAAGAGTTTTCTCAGCCCATGTATTTCTAATACAGAATAATGAGATTTATTTAGGGCATAGTGCATGGTAACATTTTAATTATTTTCATCCTGGTGACCTCCCTCTTTTTTCCTCTCTCACCTAATCCCCGTCCTCATCTCTAAAAGTTTATCTTCTACTTTCCTATCACTTTCCCTTTATTTTATTTTTTAGGCTGCTCACATAAGAGAAAACATGGTATTTAACTTTCTGAGTTTGGTTTATTATGCTTAACATGATGGTCTCCACCTCCAAGCATTTCCCTGTAAATGACATGATTTCATTCTTCTTTATTGTTGCTGAACTTTCACTTAACACAAGATTTTGAGAGTTTTCACAGTGTTTCTCATACCATTCATTCTTTCTTCATAGTTCCTTCTTTTTCGTTATTGTATAGTGTTCCATATGTGCATATGAACTGCATACATTTATTCATTTACCTGTCTGTAAGCAACTGATTTGTTTTCAATTTAGAGCCAATAATAATAAAACCACTCTGAACATTCAAATATAAATGTTTGTGAGGACCTTTGTTTCCAGTTCTCTTGTGTACAATCCTAAAAGCAAGATTTCTGGATGAAGCACTGAAAGTATATTTAACATTTTAAGACTCCAGTAAGCTACTTTCTGAAGTGACTACCACTTAGCAATCTCAGCAACAGTGTATGAGAGTTTACGTCACTCCATATCTTCATTGAAAATTATCAGCCCTTTAAATGCCTATTTTTATTTTTCATCTTATTAATTTTTAGGCAGTCTCATTCAGGAACATAACACAGCTCCCCAATTATTTAATTCCTTCAGTATTGTTTTGGAGTTTTCAATATGAGATTTTTTTAAATTTCCATCAGTAATTCTTAATTTTTTGAATTAGTTTAGATGACTTTGCAGTTTTTCCTTTTTAAATTGATTGGTTGTAGAATGTGAAAGTAACCTAACATTCCTGGGGCAAACTTAATTTGTTCACGATACACTTTGGTTTTTCTATGTAGTGCTGAAGGATTTGAATGTGTTAAAATTTTGTTGTGATTCCATCAACATTTATGTAAAATATGCCAGTTTTCTTTCTTGTACTCTTTGGTTTTGCTATCAAGGTAATGCTGCCTCACTAAATGTGCTGGAGAATGTTCCTTCCTCTTCTTTTTCTGGAAGATTTGATATTATTTTTTCATTTAGTGTTTGATAGAGTTCATTATTGAGAACATCTGGGCTGAGCGTTTTCTTCGTTGAAAGCTTTATTTTTGTTTTGTTTTGTTTGGAAGATTTAAATTATGAATCAGTCTCCTTATAGACATAAAATTACTCGGGTTACTGACATGTTTAGGTAAGTTTGTGTTTTTTCAGGAATTGGTCCATCTGATCAATTTTACTGACCAAAGGTTTTTCCTTTCTCTTTAATATCTTCTCAGTATTTGTAAGATCTGTGTAGTGTCCATTCTCTTGTTCCTATTATTAGTAATTTATATCTTTTATTGGTTACTCAACCAATCAGGCTTGCTTTATCAGTTTCATTTATCTTTGTCAAAAAATAATTTGTATTGCATTTCTGTTTTCTGTTTCATTCATTTTAACTTCACTATTTATCATTTTCTGCTTTCTGCTTTCTTCAGGCTTAATTTGCTCTTCTTTTTCTAGTTTCTTAAAGTGGGAATTTAGGTCACTGATTTGAAAGCTATTTCCCTAATACTGTTATTTACTAATACTCGTACCTTTAGTCACGGCCTGGCTGCCTCACTTTCACTTTCATTGTTTCTCAGTGTCTTAGTTATTTTTTACTCATCGTTGAGACAAAATACCTGAAGCCCAAGTTGAGAAAGGAAAGGTTTATTTCTTACAGTTTTTGGAGGTTTCAGTCCACACTCAGTTGGCTCCAAGGCAGGCAGGCATGGCTGGGCCACCTTTCATGGCGGTTGCAAACAGCAAGCAGGAACCAGCAAAGAGAAAGACACACCTTCTTCCTTGCCATTACATCACATCCTGGCTCCACCCCTATGTGGGTGGTACACTGACACCAATCCAAGCACTAGACAATGAAGTATCACAAATGCACAATGCAAACTTATGAGTCCTGGGGGCCACAGACATAAACCATGACACTCAGATATTTTCTAACATCCCTTATGACACCATATTTGACTCATGGATTATTTAATTGACTTTCAAATATTTGAGACTTTCCCATTTCATTTGTAGTTTTCAGGCTTAATTCTATCATGGCCAGAAGATGTGCCTTATTATACATTTAATCTCTTAAATTTAAGTTATGAATAATTTCTTAAATTACAAATTTATCTCTTTAATCTTTATTGAGACTTATTTTATGTCCCAAGATATAGTCCAGTGGTGAATATTCTGTATGCATTTGAAGTGAATATGCAGTCTGCTCTTGTAGTGTGGAATGACTCATAAATATTAATGAGGTCAAGTTTGCTAAAAGTGTTCATAACTCCCACTCCTTACAGAATTTTTTGTGTAATTATTCCATAAATTTTTGAGGGAAGGCTACAGAAGTCTCAGTTGTAGTCTCCTGTTGTAGCTTATTTCTCTTTTCAGTTTCACGGCTTTTGCATCATGTAATTTGAAGCCATGTGTTTAAGTGTATGCACACTGATTTTTTTGTCATACAATCATCATTTGAGATCACTTTTATCTCTGGTATCTCCTCATTCTTAAGTCCGACCTTAATAAAAAGTACTCCAACTTTCTTCTATTAGCTTGCTGTATCTTTTTCTATTTTTTCAGTTTTAATCTATCTTGGTCTTTATAATTAAAGTGTGTTTTATAGGTAACAGGTAGTTGGTTTTAATATTTCATCCTGACAATGTTTTTAATTAAAATCATTAGACTCTTTGCATTGAATAGAATTATCTATACTGTTCAGCTTACATTTCTACTGTATTACTTGTTTTCTATTTGTGCATCCGTTCTTGCATGAGAAATTACCTTTTTTTAAGTTGCACCTTTGGCATCATCTTATCTTCAATACTATCTTTGTACTTTGGCTTTATTTTTCAGCGATTGCCCTGAGGTTTGAGAACTACTCTTGGTCTATCTTTCAATAATATTATACTTCCTCATGTGCAGTACAGGAACCTCACAGTAGAATGTCTCCACTTCTTCCTTTCATATTGTTATGCATTTATTTTAACAAGTAGTAGAGAGTATAAATCACCTGTCTTGTATTTTGCTCAAAGCAGTTAATTATTATACATGTGTTTAGAAATGAGAAACAATTGATTTGAATATAACTACCACATATTTACCACATATAGCTACCATATATTTACCACTGATAGCACTCCTCATTCCTCCTAAGTTCCCAGATTTCCTTTTTTTTTTTTTTTTTTTTTTTTTTTTTCCAGTTCTGGTCTACAGTGATAAATTACTGTCTCATCTTTTGTTTACCTGAAAAAGTCTTCCTTTCACCTCCATTTTTTAAACATATGTTTGCTAGGTATAAAATTCTAGGTTGAGAATTTATTTTCTATCCTAGCTGAAAAGTCTTGATGGTTTAACTGTTTGATTAATTTATAAGAAATGTGGGCCACCATAGCCCACAGTGTGCCCGGGCAGAGCTGCCCCAGCCCCCTGGGAGCCTGGGGCGAGAGGCCCAGCCTCATCCCTGGGCGGTGACAGTCCCTATGTGCTAGGCTGCAAGGAAGCAGCCACGCAAGGTTCAGGGCTTGACCTGAGGGCTAGCCAACCTCTTCCTCATGGGAGTGAGCATCGATGGGGAACAAACTCTTCAACCGTGCTCCCTCCTCTCTAAAACGGAGAGGAGACGCCATCGCGTCCAGTGGTTGGTCTGGGCTAGTAGTAAGGATGAAATGGAACGTACAAAAGAGGCTAACGTGAACGACTTTCAGAAAGATGGTGGAGTGGTAAGCAGCAGAGAAAGAGCCTTTTGCCCTGAGGCCTCGCAGCCATTGGGGCTGGGCGCCCCTGCCCCCATGGGCCCACCACTGCTGGCCCTGGAAAGAGGAGGGTATGGCTCCAATGTGCCCACTGCCAGGAGCCCAGAAAGAAGAGTTGCATTCCACCCCACCCCACCCCCAGGGTGAACCTGCTGCTATGGGCCCCAAGCAGAGGAGGCTATGCTCTCCCCACCAACACATACTGCCCCCTGCCCATGCCAGAGAGAAGAGGCCACACTCCAGCCCAGACATCATCAAGGGACCATTGGTGGACCACTGCCCACACTCTCCACCACCCCAGATGCCTCGGACTGGAGGAGCCCAGGTCCCTGGCCTGGTCCCTAGCACCTCCAGATGGGCAGCCAGTGCAGGAAGCACCCAGGACTCAGCAACCAGCTGATTCCGTGGAACACAAGAAAATGTCAAGACAAAGAAACAAGGTGCAATCTCAGACCCCCAGCCCACCCAGAACAACTCCAGGAGACACAGACACAAAAGAAATTAGAAGTCACACACCTGAGATTTCTGAAATGATGGCAATTGAAGTAAATAAAGAACTTATGATTGTATTGTTTGATTGACTTTGCATGCCTATGTCTGGTAGTCTAAGCATCTATTTAGAGATAACAATGTGCATTATAGTAACTATGGTTGTTTTCCTACTGTCTTGTTTTTGAGGTCCAATACCACCATCATCGTTTTGTTTTGTTTTGTTTTGTTTTGTTTTGTTTTGTTTTGTTTCAATCTCTTTAAAATTAAAAGGGGAAGAAAGAAAAAAAGAAAGAAAGAAAGAAAGAGAAGAAGCTAAGGCTTGGAAGGCCCTGGGGAAGCTCTGAGTACCTTCTGCTTGGCCAGTGGCCCAGACTCAGGGCTCCAGGAAGCAGCCCCAGGAGTCACCTGGACAGCCTGCTGCTGCCTAGTGAGGGCAGAGCCAGTGTTCTCTCCTGGCTCAAGCAGGCTGCAGCCTCCCGTCAGACAGGTCCTCCTTTCTCCTGTTGCACCTTCCATACAACTCATCCTTTGCGTATCCAAAACAAAACCAGTATTCCCCCCAAAAAAGAATAAATGTGCTTTCCTGTTTATCTTTGCTTCTTTGTATATTGTATGTCTAACTCCTTTTACAATTCCCTGATTATCTCTGGCTTTACGCAACTTGATTATGGTGTGCTCTGGTTTGATTTTGTTTCTTCTACTTTGGTTTTGTTGGATCTTTGGGCTATTTGGGGGGGTCCCCTCAAATTTAGAAATGTTTTGACCGTTTTTTTCAAATTTATGTATTTTTATAAGTACGTGTTTGCAAAACACATATTTACAATCCTTGTGTGGATCCTGTACATGTACCATGTACCTAACACACCTCGGTTCCTTTTCTCACCACCTTCCCCTCCCCTCCCCCTCCACTGCATTCCTTGATCCCTTTCCATTTGTGAAAGATCTGTCTTCCTACTTTCTATTATCTATCTTTTATGTTGCTGTTTGTCCATATTTTAGGGTTTCTCATATAAGAGAAACTGCATCATTTAAGCTTTCGTGTGGGTCTGATTTACTTCATTTACTATCATGGTTTCAGGGTGCATCCGTTTTCCTACAAATGGCCCCAGTTAGCCTTCATTTTTGAAAATATCTTTTCAGTCCCCTCTTTTCTCCTGCCCATCACTGATTCCAATTACATGCCATGGGCCATTTCAGATTGCACTCCTGGTGGCTAACCCAGTGTTTCTTTTTCAGTCTTTTCCTCCCATGTATAACTTTGGATCACTTTTATGCTACTTCTTCAAGTTCGTGAATGTGTAGCCTTATAGAATCCTATCCACTGCCAGTTCCATTCATTATGTTTTTCATTTCAGATACTGTACTTTTCATCTCTAAAAATTCCATTTGACCTCTGCACAAACATACACAGATTCATATAAGTATCTTCTATTTTTCTTCTCATGTTCAATGTTCCTAAACTTTCTTGATATGCAGAACGTTTTTATAATTACTGTTTTAACATCTTTACCTGCAGTTCCATCCTCCCTACAATGTCTAAGCCCATTTCTGTCAATTGATTTTTCTCCCCCAGTTAATTATCTTTTTTCCTCGCTTTTCAAAATGTCTTAAAATTGTATAATGCCTATGTTATATTTTGCTTTCATGCACACTGAAGTGATTTAGAATCAGGTGAATAGTTTGAGGCTTGCTTTCAAGCTTTGTTAGAGCAGGACCAGAACAACAATTAATGTGGGTTATTATACAGATATTCTGAGAATTCTACCTAATGACCCATTTAGTAGGAGAACTTTTTACACAGTTGGTGGGAACATAAATTAGCCCCACCCTCCTTGAGCTCTAGCAGTTGTTCAAGTCTATTGCCCTCTAGTGGGGGAAGGTCTCCTGGTCTGGAGTGTTGATTTCCTTGTAGATCACATGAATACCTCTGTGCATCTCCAGTGTTCATGCTGGAGTTCCATCCTACCTCTATGCTACAGTGCCTTCAAAATTCCAGTTGTCCTGGCCTCCTTAAACCCTAAGATCTATCTTCTCAAACCAACATAGTCACCAAACAATATTTTGTTCCAGGACCTTCACCCTATGTTGACCTAAAACCAGCCCTAAGAGAAAGATGGTGCTTTACTAAGATTCATCTCTTTCATTTCCCTTTTCTCAGGGCCTACATTTTGCCCAACTGCTTCCAGTATCTGAAAATCATTATTGCATATATTTTGCTTTGATTTTTTTAGTTGCTTAAAGTGAAGGCATAGATCAAGTCCCAAATGCTCTAGCATGGTTGTAGTGGAAATCAGTACCTGTCCTATTATCCCATTTTGCTTATTTTCCTTGCTTCTGATACATTTCCTTTGGACTGTCTTTTTTCTATTTACTTATTATTTTATTTTATGTTATTTAATTGTATATTTGCAGCACTGGGGATTAAACTCAGGACCCTATCACAGAGCTACATCTCTAGCCTTTTTTGATTTATTTTTTATATTTAGACAAGGTCTTACGAAGTTGGTAGGTTTCCCAGACTGAACTTGAATTTGAGATCCTCCTGCCTCTGCTGCCCAGGATGTTGGGATTACAGGCCTGCACCTCCACTTCTAGCTGGGGCATGTCTTATGAACCATCAGATTTTTAGGTCTGCTGAACTGTACTCAGCAAAGGTTCGGTGCTCATAGCAGTGTTAGGGCCTTTCCAATCTCAACTATATACTCTCCAGGCTTC